CAAAAATCTCACCTTAGATCAAATGATGCGTATTTTGTTGTGTCTGAAAAATACTGGTAATTGGGAAGAGGCTCTGAAATTTGTTCCTAAGAGAAAACATACTGGTTATTTGGAAATTTCTCAGCATTCTCAAGCATTTGTCAACAGATTGAAAAAGGCAAAGAGTTTTAATTCTTTTCCAAAAGGTTCATATGTGCACAAAGAAAAGGTAGCTTGAATAAGAAAATTTATTAGCTTAAAAATTGAGTGGAAATATAGTTTTATTAGTGTTTATTCCTGAACGGAATTCCTTTCCCTTTCTTTAAAAGGCAGTTTGTTCAAACTAACTGTAAGGTTTCATCTATTCCTAGTTACTTAAAATCTGTAAAACCTTGAAAATATATTTCATATTACCATAAAAAGAAAATCAGAGAAGGTTGTTTGGGTGTGTTAAACAAAATCTTGAAGTGAACCCAATAAAACAGTTGTACTGTTGGTGTGACTTTTTAATGAATCGAGCCTCATATTCTCTTTTACTTGATAAACATTCCATATCAGCAACCATTCTTTCATGAAAAACAGGTTTTAAAAAATATTTCTAAACGTCAGGTGGGGGTTCACTTACTAAATTCAAGATTGGCACAATGCTAGGCATGCCATAGGCACTAAGATATAGTGCTTAACTGAATCTTAAAGGCTGAGACATCCTTGGGCATGTCCGTTTTTTAATTTATTTATATGTGGTGCTACTGAAAATTGAACCCAGTGCCTCACACAAGCTAGGCAAGCACTCTACTGAGCTACAACCCCAGTCCCCTGGGTGTGTCTTGTGATTTGACTCTTCTTTGAAAAACTAGTTTGTGGAGATACAACTAATTTCTGTCCTATAAGGAATAAGAGGTTTTATTTGTTTAAGGTTGCATATAGTACTTTGCCTGCTGTAGTGTTGATGGCTTTTCTTTTCTAGGAAATATTGTTTCTCCAGCTACATGGTTTGAAAGGAAATTGCCATATTTTACAGACATGGCTCCCCTGGTCACTGCGGTTATTCCAAAAGAGACACCTCATGCAAGCTGGGCTTTCTATAGTATTCAACCTACCTTGGGCAACATCAGTCTAGGGATGAGCATCTGACTTTCAAGATAGGCCAGTCATAACTTTTCCAGGATTTCTGGATTTAGGGTGGTAAAGTTTGATAGACAGGAAGCTCTGGAATTGCTGGTAACCATACCTTTTATTATGGCATAAGCCAATCTATAGTGATTATATACAGAAACAAGACCAATTTCTGGAGCTGTTCAAATCCCTGGTTCCAGCTGTTCCTGATGTCCAGTTATAATTTGCTCCTTGTTGCTTAAACATCAAGGAATACCATGGCATGCTTTTAATAAATTGCACCCCCCTTTTTTTTTTTGCCTAAGCCAACTGAGTTGGATTTGTACTCCTTGCTACCAAATAAGTCCTAATGTACTTGAGGAAAATATATACTTATTTCCTAAGAAATTAACTTTAGGAAGGATATTCACTGTAGGCTACCTACACCATTAAAAATTCTGAAAAATGGGTAATGGAAATAATATTAAGGCTAAATGAAACTATTTCTCCCTAGTTTCTGAGTTCAAAATTAGCATGCGATAATTATGTTGAATACATTTCCAAAATAGGATCTAATCTACAAAGTAGTGTACTACCAGCTTAATGCCAAACAGCTTAGTATGCCATTTGCATGAATTATTTAAACAACTAAGTTGTACATACTATCATTAACACATTTTTTACAAATAATAAAAATAATTTAGCTTTCAAATGTAGACTCATTTGTCTAACTTTAGAGTCCCACCTTTAAATTTATTATATAACCCACATTGTGGGATCGAGAAAGGCCTTGAGAAAGTAATATGCAAACTCAGACCTGACAATGAGAAGTTTGCTAAGAATTCCAACTGTTAGTCCCTATTAAAAGGCAAGTTATTGCCAGGTGCAGAGGCTGAGGCAGGAGGATCTCCGGTTCAAAAGCCAACCTCAGCAAAAGTGAAACTAAGAAACTCAATGAGACTCTGTCATTAAATAAAAGAAAACAGGGCTGGGGATGTGGCTCAGTGGTTGAATGCCCTCGAATCTAATCACCCCAATGCTTACTTTTAAGAAACACACTGAAGGAAGTATTAAAAAAATAAGTAAATAAATAAAAGGCAAGTTCCTGAACTGCCTGAGATACATTCAAGAAAAAAAATAGTACTGTAGGGGTTAAAAATAAGGGATTAAAACTGCCTGGCAGCATTGGGGCTAGAATGAAGTTGCATTTTGTTGTAGTTCTCTGCCTGAATTGTACATTTAGCAAACTTTTTTTTTGCGGGGGGGGGGGTGAGGTGGGGGACATTCCACCATTAAGCCACATCCCCAGCCCTATTTTGTATTTTTTTTAGAGACAGGGTCTTACTGAATTGTTTAGTGCCTCGCTTTTGCTGAGGTTGGCTTTGAACTCCTGCCTCAGCCTCTGGAGCTGCAGGGATTACAGGCATGTGCAACCATGCCAGGCTTAGCTCCACTTCTTAACTAGCTTTTTCCATATCCCAGTTTCCTTGTCCATAAATGATAGTAAGCACAAATTAGGATTGTAATCGTTTAATGTACGTAGTTTCGTGTTAAATACCTACATACAATAAATATGAATAAATGTATAGATGTAACCTTATAAATTTCACATCGAAGTTAAAATAATAATTGTTCATATTATCTGCAATTTCCAGCTTTTAAAACCATCATTTGAATGATTCTTTAGAGGTTATAAACAAGCTACCATTAAGCAAGCCCCACCCTGACTGGCAGCATGTTGTTAATTTTACTTCCATTATCTCACATTATACTCAGTAATCCTAGAAGCATTTTTTTATAGTTAAAATATATTTAGAAACATGATCAATCAAACCTAAACAATTAGCTAATGGCAGAATCAGAACTTAAATCCAGTTTTGTGTGATGCAAAATTACTATCTTTGCTTTGCACTAAACTACTATTTCATACTATTTCATTCCTTAACCCATTTGAAGTGAATTACTGAAACCTGCTTTTTTTTTTTTTTCAGTTAGTATTTATACTATCAACAGTGATATGTTTCCTGGGGGAAACTGTGTTGAGCAAGATAGGCATAATTTGACCTCTTGGGAATGATGGATGAATGGATTACAATTCTTCATCCTTCTATAGTGAGAGTATAAATGATTACCTTGCAAAGATCACATGTACTAAAGATGAAACAAACACAAGTACTCTTAAGTTTTTGATCACTTCTACATATAAATAGTAGACCAGGGACTTAAATTTTGATTATAAAGTCACCGAACTATCCTACTTTTTTTTCTTTTGTACTGGGGATTTAACCCAGGAGTGCTTTACCATGAGTCATATCCCCAGTCCCGCTCCCTTTTTTGAGACAGGGTCTCACTAAATTGCTAAATCTAGCCTTGAAACTGTAATCCTGCCTCAGCCTCCCACCTAGCTGGGATTACAGACCTCTGCCACTGCAAACTGCCCTATTTCTGTTTCCCCATCCCCAGACTTGAAGCCTAAAGTCATCCATCCACAACACTGAGCAACTCTTATACATGAAATGTCTTGTACAAAGTTGTGAAAAAAGTTTTTTTTTTTGATGGTTATCTGTTGTCAATGAATTCCTTTTTTCTTCATGCTGGGACTGGACCTCTGGTTCTTGGTCATGTGTGTGCTAAGGTCACATACTACCACTGAAACATAATGTCGGACCTAAGGAATTTTTGAACCATTTAAAGACAATGCTTGTTTTTTTTTTTTTTAATGGTGCTGGGGATTGAACCCAGGGCCTTATTATGAGAAGTAAGCACTCTAGCAACTGAGCTATATCCCCAGCCCCAACACTTTTAAGAAACACACTGAGGGAAGTATAAAGTGAACAAAGAATGGCATATATAAATTATCTAATTTGATCCCTATAACCACCCTTTGAAGAAGCACTATTATTGTATTTTATGGAAAAACAAAGGCAAGTCTGTGGACAATAAGCAACTCTCAAAGATACCTAACCAGAGAAGGGCAGATCAGATTTTAGAGATTGTTTTTCCTTGACGCTTGCCTCATGGCTGTAATCCCAGCGACAGGGGAAGTGGAGGCACATAAAAAGTTCGAGGCCAGCCTCAGGAATTTGGCTACACCTGGTACACCAAATAAAAAGGACCAAGGATGTGCTCAGTGGTAAAGATCCAATCCTAGGTACAAAAACAAGACAAAACAACAACAAAAACCCTTTGTTCTGTAACACTGACTACATATATTGTAAGGTAAACTCTGAAACTCCAGTTCCCTACCTAAGCAAGTAATCGATCCCATTTGGCTAAAGGACAGGATAAATTAGAGAAAACGGGACGAGGAGGCCACGTGTAACGTATGCGCTTCATTCTGCAGAATTTAAAACTCCACTAAAGGTTTCTAAGTAATGCAGAAATTACGGTAATCTTAATTTGATGGAGAAACTGCAGCCTTTGGAAAAAAATGGTTTTTTATCACTTCGGTACACGACCTTGGACAAATTATTCTCAGCTTTAACTCAGAAAATTAAGATAATTCCGCATTGGATTATAGTGAGGACTAAACCATAGTGTATGTCTAACACTAGAGGGTGCTCGATAAATGTTGGTTTTCCCTTAGAGAAAATACAGCTCTCTTTGCCTCCCCACCCTGCCTCCACCTTTCCTGGGCACATGTGACCAGGAAAGCCAGAAAGACCCTGCCAGCTTCAACTGCAAGCACTGCTGCAAAAGCAGAAACATTCTAAGGCTCCGCCAACGTCTCCAGGGTTACGTTCTCACATCCCATCACTTCTCCGGATCTGCCACTGACGTGCCTCTCCCTACCCAGTCCGATGTATAGAACGCCAATCCCCGCGCTCCTCTTTCCCCTCCCTTTCTTCAGAGGCAGTCACTCGATGACGTCACATCCGCTTGTCTTGGGCGGTCCCTCTTTTCACTCATCTGGGCCTCTCTAGTCAGCGACCTCTCCAGATGGCTCTAAAGCTCAATGGTTGCTGGGCGGGGCCGTGACGTCCTTGGCGTAGCTGCAGGGGAGGCCGCGGCGGGGAAAATGGCGGACGGGAAGGCGGGAGAGGAGAAGCCTGAAAAGCCGCAGCGAGTTGGAGCCGCCGGAGGTGAACACAACCCCAGCGTCGCGGGATGTGTGGGATGCTCTGGGCCTTTCGTTGAGCTCCCCGGGGTGGGGGGAATGGGGTGGAGAAAGATTGGGCGAATCTGGCGCTCACTCGGTTAGGTGCTGGGCCCGGGCACGCCCGGTGCGGCCCGCTGGGATCCAGACCCATATCGCTTCCTTGCCGGGAGAGAGCCGGCCACTGTCCCTCACCTCATGGCCCCTGCGGAGGCCCTCCTTCTGAGAAGGAAGATGGGCACCAGAAAGGGAGACTGAAGTTGGGGTGGGACCCGGAGCGGCGGTGCAGGAGCCGCTACTTCCACAGCGGAGACACACATCACACAAAACACACCACCGCACACTCTCCATCCCCCCCACACACACACACACTGTGTGAGCCACCGAGCCATGGCCGCGGAAACTGGCCCAAGGCCGAGTTTCCAAAGGTGCAGATCTCTCAGTTATACACGTAGGAGTTAATTACGCTTGCTGTTCCCTTTTCACTGAGGAGGTGGACAACCCCGGCCTGCTCTTTCCTTTATTTTCAGGCATAATAGTGACCCTGTAATGAGATGGACAGAGGGGATGGAGGAAAAGAACAATCACCCGCTGATTTAAGCTGTGGGTTTCTAGGGTTATGGTTTGATCGCCTTTCTCGGAAGTATGCCTTTCCTAATTAGGCTACTACCAGTTTATCGCAAGCCAGATAAATTTAAGTGGCTTAGTAGTCTAGTGTGACTCATTACTGTGTATTGATACAGTATTGAACTCAGGTTATAGCTATCCTTTTCTGGCCCCGCTACCCTCATAAATTCCAGGTCTTTTGCATTAAGGAGAAGAAACAAATAATCTCCCCAGGGCACCCCGCTTCCCCCCAACCCCCGTCATAGCAAGACAAGTGACTTTAACATGGGAGCTGATTATATTGTCTTGTTTAGAACGCTTTTTAAATGTTATTTTCTATTCTGACTCCGTTAAGTCTTACCCCTGAAAGTATTTAATATGAGAAAATACAGAAGATTAATAGCACATGAAAGCAAATAATATGACCTACTAACATGTTTAATGTGAATTGTAGTGGGATCAAAAAAAAATGTTGAAAACGTGTAATGTTCAGAATTTCTTTTTTAAAAATATGGAGAGTTGTTATTGGCAGAAATGAAGCCCCCCCACCCCTGTTTATTAAAAGCAGTAAAATAGCTTATGAAACAGTGTAAAACATCTAGCACTTGTCTGGAATATTTTTTTTTCCTGACCAAAAAAAAAATTACCTGAGAAACTGTCAAGTAAAATTATGTAAAAATTTAGAAGTAATTTGAGGAAAAGCAAAAATACAGAGCCTAAAGAATCTTCTGTATTCCTGACTTTTTTTAGAGTGGAGGAGATGTGTTTAATGTGCTGCCAGAATATACTTTAAATGTTAGCATAAAGACACTGTAATCTTCCTGCTACCTTTCAGTTGAGAGTAGTTAACTCTGTATTATGAATATTCATGTTTCCATTTTAGGGTGTTTGGGGATTATAAAATTACTTTGCTTGCGGAGCAATTGGTGGGTACACCTGTAATACCAGCAGATCAGGAGGCTGAGGCAGGAGGATGGGGAGTTCAAAACCAGCCTCAGCAAAAAGCAAGGCGCTAAGCAACTCAGTGAGACCCTGTCTCAAAATAAAATACACGATAGGGCTGAGGATGTGGCTCAGTGGTCTAGTGCCCCTTAGTACAAAAAAAAAAGAAAAAAAATTACCTTGCTTTAGTATCAGAAAAATTATTATTGTTTTTGTTGGTAACTTAGAATAACTACTGTCCCTGAATTTCTACATCATTAGCCTCATTTCCTTTACAAAAAAGTAGTGCTGTTGCATCTAAGCTATATTTGGAATATCTTTTTTTTAATATTTATTTTTTAGTTATGGGTGGACACAGTGTCTTTATTTTACTTTATGTGGTGCTGAGGATTGAACCCAGTGCCCCACGCATGCTGTGTGAGCGCTCTACCTGTGAGCCACAACCCCAGCCCTGGAATGTCACATGTTTTTAATGCAGTTGTGCTAAGTAATCATAGTTAAAACATTTCATACTTCGGATATTTCTAAATTGATAATTTTGTTGTAAGTAGTCACTTTTTAAAGAACACTGTCATGCTTGTCCTATGGACAAACCAAGAGAGTATTCAGAATTTTTATTCCTATTGAGTAATGCATTACATTGGAAATATAAACACTTCATTTTTTTTTTAATCTTTTGTTAGTGTAAGGGATTGAACCCAGAGCCTCACCATGCTAAGCATGTGCTTTACTAGTGAGCTACACTCCTAGCCCCAGAAGTATGTGGGGTTTTATGAGCAGATTACTTCTGTAGTTAATGTGTGTCTGAGAGAGAAGCTACTTACTTGAACTACCTGTTTTCACTTTTAAGAGGAGTTACACTTTGGATAGATTTTTTTTTTCCTCCTCTTTTTGGTCAAATTTTTATAGCTTTTTAAGATAAATACAATTTTAAAGAAGAGCTATATTTACATAATCTTAGCCATCTCAGTCTTTCAAAGATTATGCTAAGGGCTTGGGTGGTAGCTTAGTGGTATAGCACTTACCTAGCAAGTGTGAAGCACTGGGTTCAATCCTCTGGACCAATTTTAAAAAAATAAATAAAATAAAGGTATTTTGTCTATCTGCAAGTAAAAATATTTTTAAAAGATTATGCTAAGAACTTCTTCAGTGAAATTGACATTTATTGTGCCAAACACTTAATAGGGTCTTGAATACATTCTCATATAAATGGCACACCAGTCCTATCACAGAATAACTGTGTGCCCTTTTTTGGATAAGGAAGCCGACAGAATGCAAATGGGTCTTGAGGGGTACCATTATAGACTCACTTTTTTATTGGGTAATTTTTTCAAAACAAAGTACCCTTGTGCTCTAAGGCATACCCCACCTATTCAGTGAAAAAGGAAAAAGAAAAAACTATTAGCATAATGTGCAATTTGATTTCACATTAATTAATCTATGCATCTTGTTTGCTCAAAATGAATACAAATTAAACAAAATCCCTTTTATTAAAATGTTCTTTAATAAAGAATTATAGTTTGTATTTTATCCATGTTTATGTTATAAATTGATACATGATTTCTTATTTTAAAAATATTGATTATGTGTTCATTTTTAAACTACAATTCACTTTACTAAAAATCTTCACAGTTAGTAATTATTGGTCATCTAAACTTTTGTTTCCCACAGACCCAAAATACAAGATGTCTCATTTTAAATAATGGTAACGGATTTGGCTCTCATGTTTTCCCATTTAGTCCATTGTTGATTCCTTTTGCTTTATTTTCTAAGTGCTTTGTGTGGTTTGCCACAAAATTGTTAAAAGCATTATATAAAGATAAAATAGAAGCTCAATCCATGTGACACATTGAGCCCTTAGAAGCTAAGAAATGAAGCTGAGTACAGTGGTGTGATCCTGTAATCCCAGGCATTGGGTAGGCAGAGGCAGGAAGATTACAGGTCAAGGCCAGCCTTAGCAACTTGGGGAGACCCTGTTTGAAATAAAAATAAGAAAGGCTGTGGGTGTAGCTCAGTGGTAGAGTGCATGGGTTAAATCCCCCAGTACCACAAAAAATAAATAAATAAAAATAAAGGTAGGAGGGGCTGGGATTGTGGCTCAGCGGTAGAGCACTTGCCTCACTGTGTGAGGCACTGGGTTCAATCCACAGCACCACATAAAAATAAATAAATAAAGTAGAGGTATTGTGTCCATCTACAACTAAAAATTAAAAAGGAGAGCTGATCGTGTACCCTCCTTCCTTCATTTCTTTCTCCCCTCATCTAGTCATCTTCTGATCTGAAGATGTTCATATAGTTTTTACAGTGGCTTTAAAAAAAAACCAAAAACACTTCTTGAGTTTGGGAAGGCCAATTTATTTATTATGTACAGAAATAAATTGCTTGATCTGGACTCAGTCACATGTAGGAAAAAAACCTAATAAACATAGTGTGGGATGGAGGTGTAGTTCAGTGGTAGAGTGCTTGCCTATCATATTTGAAACACCACAAAAATAAACAAGAAGGGGGTGCAGTGGCCATGCCTATAACTTTAGTGGCTTGGGCCCCACAAATTCAAGACCAGCCTCAACAATTTAGCAAGGCCCTAAGCAATTTAGTGAGACCCTGTCTCAAAATGAAAAATTAAAAGGGTTAGGGATGTAGCTCAGTGGTAAAGCACCCCTGGTTTCAATCCCTGTACCAAAAACATAATAGTATGTGTTTGATCTTTTGTGTGGACCTGTGATATGGATAGTCTAGTGTGCCTCTTCAGATGAGAAGAACAGATGTGAATGGGATTAAGTTGTTACCAGTTGATTATGAAATGAATAGTAGAATAGTTCTCCATGCTACCTTTTTCTGAAGCAATCTCCATGGAAATCTCTAGAAAGATTTCTTCTAATGGGATTGGACAGTATTGTAGTCCATTTATTACACATCCAATTTCAGCTAGCTGACACATTTAACATTATAATAAGAATCTTTTCCCTTTTTCTTATTTATACTTTAAATTTTCCAAGTTGCCTGTTCTAAGATTATTTTTAGAAAACGAAACTAGAAGAAAAGATAGGCTCTAAAAGAATTGGAAATCTTAACTAATTATGGCCTTTGGGTCATGATTCAAAAAGAAGACTTACACTATAGTCAGTCTAAAGCGTTCTTTATGCTCTTTATTTTAATGTTTTCCAATTTTGTTTGCACACAGTTTGTACCTTTATAGGCTGTAATATGTAAAGCCAATGGGTTTTCTGTATGTTTAAATATGTATAGCCAAATTTCCAATTTTAACTATGCATCATCACAGTTTTGCTTGAGTTTTATTATGAAATAGCATACTTAAAACTAACGTAGGATAAAGTTAGTATAAATGCTTTTAGTTGTAAACATAGAATGAAAAACTTAATATTTACATCATACTATTTTTTAAAGAGATTCTATATTTATTAAAAAGTTCTACTTCTCACAATTAAAAAAAAGTTCTACTTCTCACAATTAAAAAAAAGTTCTACTTCTCAGCTATTGAATAATAGTCTTTAACTCTTTAGATGCTTTTGTAATTTCACATATAAATAAGTGAATGGCACTTAAAGCAATATTCCAACACTATATTTCCCTTTTAGATAAATCCCAAGCTTAATCCTGCTTAACTACTCCTCCCTACATTGTCACTACAACTTTCACCCTTTGTCCAAAGAGAATAAATTTCCTTTTATTTTTTATCTAAATAAAATCAAATTTTCTATTCAAAGTGTTATCATTCCAAAACTATACAGATCTAGATCTGTAACCTCAATTCTTTCTGTCTTTTGCTCATTGGTCTGTTAATGTTTTGTTCCCCCACCTCCTGCCTACCCCATTCTAACTTTTTGTCCCATTTTCTTTAGACTGTACCCCAAAGCATCTTCTCTTTACTCACAAGTGAACTCTTTATCCAATGTAACAATACATTCTATGGGGTGAATTGGCATATTAGAGAATATAAAATTTTTGATGGTGATGATGAATTGATGAATGATGTCTTACATCCCTGTTGATGTCTTACATCCCTGTTTGGTTTGGGTTGTTGTTGTTTTTATACCAGCGATTGAATCACATCCCCAGCCCTTTTTACTTTTTATTTTGAGACAGTTGCGGAGTTGCTTCAGGCTTCACTAAGTTGCTGAGGCTGACTTTGAACTTGTGGTCCTCCTGCTTCATTCTCCCACCTGCTGGGCTTGTACAGGCATGGACCACCATGCCTTGCGTCATAATTAGTCTTCTTATGTAAGAGATCTAAGATATTCTAGATGCAAACTCACAATTGACTGAATACAAATACAAGCAAAATTACTAAAAGACAACATACTTCCAAACCTATATATGTATGCTTTCTACTGTTTGAAGTTATAAGCTCATCTTTGATGAGAAAATGTAACGTGTAAACCAAGACTTGTATTAGTGCTTACAGGTAGCTTAAAACAGGTGATAACCATGCTTTCAGAGGAGAATTAAATTACTCAAGAGGAGTTGACTAGACTTTTTGAAGTTCTTTTTCAACTCCTAAGATTGAGTGAGATGTACATGAAGAACACATCACTCAAAAATATAACTAGGCTGTGTTAATACTGAAGTTTGGATAATAATGGTCCTTTACATGACAAGATACTTTGTGTGACTCATACACATTATTGAGAATATTAGAATTTATTAGCCAAATGTATTATCTTGCCACATGACTGATTCCTCACAGATTAGTTTGCAAAAAATAATTTATAGATCTTGATTTCTAAAAAGCAGAATTCCACAAATAAGTATATTATTGTATGATGTCTGTGGTAGTATTTAGTTGAAGGGTCTTTACTTTTTTGTGAACTCTATGTTTATAATTTTAAATTGCTCTGTATTTTATGCTAGTTAATTCATGGGAGCCTCTTCTACTGCCACACAATCTCAGTTCCTGCTATATACTCTAACAAACAGTGGAAGAGACTGTTGGGTCAGTAGGTGACAACTGCAGAGGTATCTTCCTTATAACGATGCTTTTTGAGGTTGCTGCTCCCATCAATCTGCTCAGTAAAAATAGCTCATCTTGGTAAGTTGTTTCGACTTCACCAGGACCTGAAGAAGAAGCAGAAAAACCTGTGAAAACTAAGACTGTTTCTTCCAGTAATGGAGGGGAAAGTTCCAGTCGCAGCGCTGAGAAGCGATCAGCTGAAGAAGAAGCTGCAGACCTCCCAACAAAGCCTACAAAGATCTCCAAGTTTGGATTTGCCATAGGTAGTCAGACAACAAAGAAAGCATCAGCCATATCCATCAAACTTGGATCAAGTGTAAGTTACTTTATGTATGATATTTGTAATGGGTATTAAGGATTTGTTTTGGAAACCTGCTTTTACTAGGTTATCGTAAATTAAGTATAAAAAGTTGCATTTCTCCGGGCTGGGATTGTGGCTCAGTGGTGGAGTGCTTACCTAGCACATGTGAGTCATTGGGTTAGATCCTCAGTACCACATAAAGATAAGTAAATAAAGGTATTGTGTTCATCTACAACTAAAAGAAGTTTTTTAAAAGATGCATTTCTTAATCTTTTATATATTAACTTATATGTATTTAAGAAGTGATTAGCACTCTTTAGGAAAGATCAAAATGAATTATCTCAATAAAATCAGTTTTTAACAAAGATGTAGAATTTTAGAAGGAACAATATTATAGAAAATGCATGATTTATAAAGTAGTGAGTTTGTATCAGTTAAGCAAGACCTCTGAAAGATATTTTGAGAAAGAATTTCAGGTTTTTTTTTTTTTTTTAAATCTTTCAGTTTCAGTAACAATATCTATGGACTAGGGGATAGCCCAGTGGTAGAGCATGTGGTTAGCATCTGGAAGGCTTTTGCTTTTATCCTTGGTACAACATTAAAAAGTAATATCTCCAGAAATCAGTTATTTGTATCTTAAAAGATTAATTTTAGTAAGATATTGCTTGATAAGAAAAGCTTTTTTTTTTTTTTTAAAGTGAGAGTGAGAGAGGAGAGAGAGAGAATTTTTAATATTTATTTTTTAGTTCTCGGCGCACACAACATCTTTGTTGTATGTGGTGCTGAGGATCAAACCCGGGTCGCACACATGCCAGGCGAGCGCGTTACCACTTGAGCCACATCCCAGCCCAGAAAAATCTTTCTGATTAAAGATCAGTGTTCGATCCCTTGTTTTAAGATATAAACCTCAAATTAATATTTTTTTAACCATGGAACCTATGGAAAATGAATGAAACTATGGAAATGAATGAAATTGACCTGGGAAGTATAAAGAATGAAAGGTTGCTGCTACCAGTAGTAGAATCCTAGGTATCTGTATTGTTAAGTGAGGAGCAGCAAGGAAGGGGGAGAGAAAACAATAGGTCAGAGAATTAGCAGACTAACCAATTAAAAAATATATATATATTGTTCCAGAAGACAAGGGAGAGATGTTTTCAAAAAGAAGCTGGTGATTAGAATCAAATGCAGCACACCAGTTATTGGTGACCTCATAAAGAATAATTCTAGGGCGATGGTAGATGGTTAGGGTGGGAGCTAGATTGCAGTATGGTAAAGACTAAATGGATGGTGAGAGAATGGAGATAGAATAGTTTATTTTGTTAAAAATTTAGGTCATATAGAAATGATCACTTGTCTGAAGCCCAAAGGGTAAAAAGGATAGACGTAGAGTTTTAGTAAAAAGGGTAGAGGAATATGAGTCATGATGCCTTGTGTGTTCTCAAGGCACTTTTAAACTAATTCTTACTATGGGAACATATTATTTATCATTTTGTATCAAATACCCTTTGGCTTAAGTAATATTAAGTTATAGATCCTAGCTGGAGAATTATTTTTTCTAATAGGTAAACAAATGGATATAATAATAAATAACAAAGTTAAACCTACCCACAGATAACCTGCATTTTCAGACATAGTGCAAATTCTAGGTTCCTTACTATATAAATTTATGAAAACAAAGTTGAATTTTTCAAGATTTATATCAAACAGTTCTCTACAAATGTGACTCATCTAGTGTTCTTTTTAACGTTTCTTCTTCAGAAGCCTAAAGAAACTGTTCCAACTCTTGCTCCAAAAACCCTTTCAGTAGCAGCAGCTTTTAATGAAGATGAAGATGTAAGTTAATATCTCTTTTATTTTAACCAGTTCTTTTAGTAGGAGAGTGTTAATGACAAATTATAAGGTTATATTAATGGTGTTATTAAATTGTAGCACCTACAAAAACTGGATATTTCTATTTTGTATTTATTTTGTTTGGTTGTAGGATTATTTAAAAATGTTAAGTTTGGGGGCAAGAAACCTAAGAACCAAAACAACAAATGCTTATTATGAATATATGTGCTAGGAAATATGTAGGATATAGTTGGGGTCTTCAGTGATGATGTATTGTGCTTTCAGGTTACAGAAGGCAGCTGTAGTAACATGCTTTCCATAGGAGATGGAAATAATACAGGTGATTCTGCCAGCACTTCTCAGTAGGCACAGAGTGAGCTTGAGATGCTTATTAGATTGATCAGTTCCAGTTCTCATGCCTGTCTTACCATGCTTATGGATAACCAGTGGAATTTTCAAACACGATTTGATTATGATCTATATTAGGCTGTGACTTGAAAATCTAATCCCCATATAAGATGAGAACCCTGTATATGTAACAATCAAGTATTATACAAATAGTAATTGTTTCCAAAAGCTATAAGGATAAACATTATATTATTCAAGCTGAACATGGGAGCATACACTTGTAATCCCAGCTACTCAAGAGGTGATGCAGGAAAATCTCAACATAAAATAAAAAGGGATAGGATATATCTTAGTAGTGGAGTGCTTGTCTGATATTTTCAAGGCTCTGGTTTCAATCCCCAGCACCTGGGCAGGTAGAGGTAGGGATTATACATTCAGAGGGGCCCAAACACTGGGAATAGAGTGATTTCAGAAGAATATATATAAAAGAAGTAATACAAATTTTATACTAAAACATTAGTCAGGGTTTCAGTAAATCAAGGAAGACTTATAAACTGAGACATCAGTTTTCAAGTCACAGGCACCATTTGGAGAGTTGTTATTTTGTTTTTGTTTTTAATATTTTTTAGTTGACGTACCTTTAGTTTTTATTTATTTATATGTGTTGCTGAGGATCGAACCCAGTGCCTCAGTGGCAAGTGTTCTGCCACTGAGCCACAACCCCAGCCCCTGGAGAGTTTTTTTAGAGGAGTATTGGACAAGGATAAATGTGGAACCATTGGAGCCTGAATCAATAGGGAAAGAATCACTGTGGTTATTACTGTGTTCTCCTTTACTCATTTACACATTTGATTGCTTTGTATGTACTAGGCACTATGACATTACAAGACATCAGATATGTTCCTCTAAGAACTAGTCTAGTAGAAGGAGACTTACATGTAAATTAGTGAGAGATAAAAATGAAAAATACCTGAAGAGGTGAAGTACTGTGGACATTCAGAAAAGAAATAAACAGGTACTGGATGTAGCAGCATAGAAAGACACCTGGACTAGCAATTGAAAGACCTGAATTGTAACCATGTCTTGACTAGTTATTAACCAGTAGAAACCTGAATAAATCATTTTTATTTTTCTGGAGCCTTAGTTTTCTCAACTATAAAACAAAGACTGTAACTTGCCAGGCAAGTAATGTACACCTGTAATCCCAGAGGCTCAGGAGGCTGAGGCAGGAGGATCGCAAGTTCTAAGCCAGCCTCAGCAACTTAGCAAGTCCCTAAGCAATTCAGTTAGACCCTATCTTTAAGTAAAATATAAAAAAGGGCTGGGGAAGTAGCTCAGGGGGTTCAAACCCCAGTACCAAACAAAACAAAAACAAAGGCTGCATACATTCTAGGGAAGAACCTGGGGTCCTGCCCATGCTAAGTATATCTTCTAACACTAAGCTATACTCCTAGCAGACTGTTTTGGTGGGGAGAGTTTGGTTTTTTGAGATAGTGTCTCACTATGTTGCCTAGGCTGATATCAAACTCTTTCCTTGTTTCTCCTGAGTTTTGAGATTCCAGGGATGCTTGGTCTCAATTTAGTTGATAGATTTTTTAAAACATTATTTTTAATTGTTGATAGAACTTTATTTTTTTATGTGCAATCCTGAGAGTTGAACCCAGTGCCTCACATATGCTAAGCAAGTGCTCCACCACTGAGCCACAACCCCAGCCCCTAGTTCCTAAATTTTTAAAAACTACTCAAGAGTTCTTGGATCCTATGGCAGTTATAGTGGTATGGGAAGCTGATGTTTAACAAGCAGGACTCTGGTGTTTTGCCCTTATTTCACTTATAAGTTGTACCTCTGTCTGATATTTGGAAACCCAAGTAATTTATTGAGGGGGAAAAAAAAGTATTCTGTTGCTCAGAAGAAAAAAAAATTAAAAACAAAAAAATGCTAATCTAAATAATATCTGTAACATTCTTAAAGAGAGTAGGTAGCAGATTATAGCATGGAAAATGATATAGGAAGAAGGAAAAATGTGTAGAAGTACATAGGCTGGAAGCACCTGCATTATATAATAAAACCTTACCTTGAATGCCTAACTATTTGATTATCTTTTCACATTATTTTACATTCTATATGTCCCTGTGGATTGTACATGTATTTATATTTTACAAATGGAGAAATTAAGCATGCATGATTATATGGTAATTCATACACATTTTGAACCTTAGGTTTTCTGGTTTCTTGTCCTATAGTCTTTGCATCATACTTTAATGTCTTTCATTCATATATTTATATATTTTTTGGGCGGGGGGGTGATATTGGGGATTGAACCCAGGGCCTTGTGCATGTGAGGCAAGCATTGCACCAGTCCCCAGTCCATGTCTTCCCTGTTTTAAAAAAAGTTTTAGAGAGATTCAAACAATATTCTTTCTGCTACAATACTATAATGGTAGTAGACAATAGAGGGCTGGGGTTGTGGCTCAGTGATAGAACATTTACCTAGTATGTATGAGGCACTGGGTTCAATTCTCAGCACTTCACATGTAGATAAATAAAATAAAGGTCCATGAACAATTAAAAAATGTGTTTTTAAAAATTGTCTCATATATCTAAAATCCTTATCTACTTAATTTTTAAAAAATATTTATTTTTCAGTTGTAGTTGGACACAATACCTTTATTATTTTTATGTGGTACTGAGGTCAAACCCAGGGCCTCTCACATGCTAGGCGAGCGCTCTACCACTGAGCCCCAGCCCCAGCCCTATCCACTTAATTTTTTATTCAAGAACATAACTAAGTAACAAAATATATTGTTCAAATATATTGACCTAAGTAGATAACAGTTAATTTTGGCTTTGGGAGCAAGTTGTTGCATGGATTGAAACCAGGACCTCACACATTCTACCACTGAATTATTTCCTAACCCCAGAGTTTTAACATTTCAAAAAAAATTTTTTTTTCAGTTGTCTCCTTTAATTTGGATAATTTCCCCAATCTTTCTGTGTATTTCATGACAGTAACATTTTTGAAGAATACTGGACAGTTATTTTCTACAGTGTCTCTCATTTTGGATTTGTCTGGTGTTTTTTTCATGCTTAGATTCTCATTGCTTTTGGTAGGAATACCACTGAAGTTGTGCCAAGTTCTCAATGCATCATACTAGGGAGCACATGCTGTCAATATGCCCATTCCTGCAGTGTTAACTTTGATCATTTAGTTAAAATGGTGCCTGCCAGATTTCGCCACTGTCAAATTTTTGTAAAGCTAAATTAAAATTTATCTTATATGCTTTGAGAATATGTAAAAATATATAATTTCTCAAAACTTCACTCACTAATGTTAACATCCATTAATGATTCTTATCAGGATTAGTTATGATAATGTATGCCAATGGTGATATAATATATGCCACCATGCCTTGTATATTTATTAACTGTCTCTTACTAAATGAAAGAGCTGTTTTTAATATCTGTGTATGTTTTTACACATATAGTCCTAGGTATGCTTATATTCATTCATATATATATATATATATATACATACACACACACACACACCATTGGTAATCAAAATCATAAATTTTCATACATATTCGGTTACATATTTATAACCTATGTGTAAATCAAATTGTGAACATCCATTTCAACACCAAACCCAACTATATACAAATTGAGATAATAAATATTTTAATATATATTTTACATATATATCCACATTGTGTTTATATATATGGACATAAACATTCAAACCCTAACTCTAATCTTAATCCTTTTTCACAAATAATCTGACTCTACCACTACGGCTCAACAGAAACCTCTAGACATATAGACCAGATTACTTTACATGAATGTACCTGTATATTTGGAGATATAAATTTTAAAAGTCACATAAAAATCCATAAATATTTTACCTATATATCCATTTCAGTAGGCAAACCCAGATTTAACACTTGCTTAAAAATACTATGTAACTTTAAAATAGCCATAGATGAAAGTATATATTTATAAAATTTTGTATATAATTTTAATTCTATATTAATATGTATTTACATAAATATTGATATGTATTCCAGTGGTAGACCCTCATCCTCAACCTAACTCAGAACTAAACCTAACCCTTCCCATTATCATTAGTCTTCTATACAAAAATCATAATTATGACTTTGAATACTCATATATATTTTTACATATATATTCCTTCATATGTTTATAAATATATATTTATGTACCCTAATGCTAAACAAAATCTTACCCATAAATTTTCATATATATTCAGTTACATATTTATAAAATACATCTAAACAACAATGTAAACATCCATCTGAAAATTAACTATATACAAATCCCTGTATATTTAGTATTTTCATGTACGTTTTTACATAAATATTTATATTCATATATTCGGATAATAATGTTCAAAACCTAAAATAATGCTATGCCTCACCGAAACCTCTATACGTATAACCATAACAATTTACATGAATGTACCTATATACTGTGGAATATAGATTCATAAATATTGTTACATATAAACAGTGACACTTCATGAATATTTCTGTATATTGTGAAGTATGTATTTATAAATTCACATAAATCCATTTTCATATATGTTCATTTCTGCAGGCTTACCCTATCTTTAACACAAAACCTAACAATTCCCCTTACCATAACCTAATTAAAGATAAAAGCACATATATTTCATGTGATTTTACTTATGTATTTATATTCAGATATATTTACATACATTTTTAGTCCATAACCCTAACCACAATGCTAGTTTGTAACTCTGAATTAAAACTGTGTGTGTGTGTGTGTGTGGAATATATGGATATTCCAAGTAATTCCACAATTACTTGGAATATCCATATATTTTTTACATATGTATTTATGTACATCATTATAAACATTTGTATGTACATATGTGACTAATGTTAACCATAATCCTATTGCTACAAGAAACCCAAATCTTCTAAACCAGACTGTAACACAAATGAAAACACTAAACATACTGCTGTATATTTATAAATTTATTATTTATGAAAGAGCTATTCTTATCACTTTTAAATTTAAAAATTTTATCATATAAGTGTAACTCATATATTTTTATCTTATTCAGTAAAGTATAATTCTCAAATATTCCAGATTTGATCAGTGAAAGCCCCCTTAAGTTGGTTTTTTGTTTGTTTGTTTTTTTGTTTTTCTTTTTAAAGGCAGTGTCTGTCTAAGTTGCTGAGGCTGGCCTCCAACTTGCTGTGTTCCTGCCTTAACCTCTCCAGTTGGTGGGATTATAGGCAGGCACCTCTGCCCAGCTTAAGCTAAGTCTTGCAGATAGCATTTTTAAAAATAATATTTAGGGCTGGGGTTGTGGCTCAGTGTACTTGCCTAGCGTGTGCGAGGCCCTGGGTTCGATCCTCAGCACCACATAAAAAAAATAAACAAAAATAAAGATATTGTGTCTAACAGCAACTAAAAAATAAATATTAAAAATAAAAATGGAAGCCGTGGCTGCACAGGGCAAGGCAAAGAAATAAAGGCAAAATCGCAGACTACTGTACCAAGGAAGACCCTACCCATCCATTCCTTTGCACCTCTCTCCTGCATCACCATACTGACCACATCTGTGGGCATCTTAAGTTGTAGCTGCAGATGGGGACCAGTAGCTCCCACTTTAATTTTAGCATTTTGTCTCCTGCTAAATTGTAATCAGAATAGAAACTCTGGGGCACAGGTTCTCAATCTAAGCCCAGGGAAGGTTCCTCATATCCAAAAGAGTTGAGGTAGTAGTTGTTGGTTTTTTCTTGAGAAGGGTAGGGAGGAATTGTGCCAAGGCATGACCAATGAGAAGAAGCCAGAGAGCCTGTTTGTGTTTCTAAGAGCCAGTTCTGTACTCTTCTGTATTCAGGTCACTGGGAAGATGGGTAGCAGGGGGCTCTAGTCATTCCAGTGGAATACAGAAGTAACCTGCATGGTGATTTAAGAAAGACAACTCCCTGACCCCAGAGGAGCTGGCTCCAGAATGTTGGGATCAATCCTAACTTTTGTTACATTTCTTTTCACTAAAGAAAAAAAAAATTATATATATATACACTAAACAAAACCCTTCTGGGTTTTTTCTAGTGGTGGTTAGTCCCACATGTTGTCACCAGAAACTAAGCCATTCCTCACACCAATATGGGATAAGCTCCTTGGCCTGTAAGGTGCAGGAGTGTATCTTGCTATGTATCTTAGAATCTCTCCTCTGCCTTGTTTTGTGGCAGTGAAATGCCTCTTGATCATGTCCAAGCGTGTCTTTTACTGTATCTGATTTCTGAGTCTTGTTCCAGTTGCTTGGCCCTGCCCCAAAGGCCCAGTACTCATTTAGCATAACTGTAATAAATCTTTTTTCCAGATCAATATAATAAAGGAGTGATGTGCAATAAAAGAAAAGATATTGTGTCTAACAGCAACTAAAAAATAAATATTAAAAGTAAAAATAATAATAATATTTAGGCATACCTGGTGGCACACATCTGTAATCCAGCTACTCAGGAGGCTGAGGCAAGAGAGTAGCTAGTTCAAAGCCACTCTTGGTAGGGCTAGGGTTGTGGCTCAGTGGTAGAACATTGCCTGGCACGTGTGATGCACTGGGTTCAATCCTCAGCACCACATGAAAATAAAACAAAGGTATGTCCATCTACAACTAAAAAAGTCCGTCTTGGCAATTTATTGAGACCCTGTCTTAAAATAAGAAAGGATAAGAATGTATCTCAGTAGTGGAGCTCTTGACTAGCATGTGCTAACTCCTATTTCAATCCCCAGTAGCACACAAAAAAATATTATTATTATTACTAAGCTAAGCAGTAGCATTTATACATAAAACCATAATTCTGAAAAGAACTCAATCTCACAATTTTCAGTAGCTGAAAGTATAGAAAGTAATAAGGACTGAGTTTTCAAAATGTCCTTAGAATAAAAGAGGTACTTTTGAGAAAGAACAGTACAGTAAAGGGGTTAAGGATCTTTGCTTTGGCATTAGACTAGTTTGCTAATCATTAACTTTGTGATCTTGGGCAAGTAACCTTGTCATTTAACCTTGTGCAAATGATTATAATCATACTGCACATGGGACTGTATTGTTAGAATTTTAAATTAAGATAGTGTAGATAAAGCATTAAACACATAGTATAGTACATAAATCATTAATGATTTTATTTCTATAATATGGGCTTTTTAAGTTTAATTCTTGAATTTACATATTTATATGGTACAATGTACATATTTGTAGGGTACAATGTAGCATTTCAGTACATGTATACAGTGTAATGATCAGATTAGGTTGATATGGCTTATCCATTACCCCAGACATTTGTCTTTTGTTTGTGTGTGTGGTGCTGGTGATTGAACCCAGGTCCTTTGCTAAGTTACTTATCTGAGTCCAGAAGCACAAACCTGTAATCTAAGCAATTTGGGAGCCTGGGGCAGGAAGATTGCAAATTAAAACCAGCCTTAGCAATGTAGCAAGACCAGAAGCAACTTAATAACTGTGTCAAAATCAAAAGGTTTGGGGTTCTAGCTCATTGGTTAAGCCCCTCTGGGTTCAATCCCTGGTACCAAAAAAAAAAAAAAAGATGCACTGGGGTTGTGGTTCAGCGTTAGAGCACTCGCCTAGCACGTGCGAGACCCTAGGTTCAATCCTCAGTACCACATAAAAAATAAATTAACAAAATTTGTTGTGTACAACTACAAAATAAATATTAAAAAAAAGTTATTCATCCTACAAACCTGTCAAACCAAACCCCTATACTGTTATCATCCCTCTGCTTTCCTGACCTCTGGTAACTACTGTTGTACTGTATATTTCTGTGGCATCAGCTTCCTCACCATCTACATATGGGTGAGAACATGCTGTATATGTCCTTCTCTGCATGATGTATTTCACTTAATGTCCACCACCCTAATCCATTTTGCTGCAAATAACAGTATTTAATTCTTTTATTTATTTTGGTTTAACAATATTCATTGTGAATTATATGCCATTCTCTAACCATTTGTCAGTGGACATCTAGGTTAACTTTATATTAGTCATAGCTATTTTGAATAGTGCAGCAATAAACATGGGAATATAGATATCTCTTTTGTCATACTGATTTTCTTTCCTTTAGATATATACTTACTAGTGGAAGTGTTTGACCATATGGTAGTTTTATTTTTAGTTATTAGGTTTTGTTTAGGTTTGTTTTGTAATTGGGATTGATCCTAGGGATACTCTGCCACTGAGCTGTATCCCCAGACCTTTTTACCTTTTATTTTGAGAAAGGATCTCATAAAGTTGCCAAAGCAGGCCTTGAACTTGTAGTATTCCTGCCTCAACCTCTTGAGTAGCTGACATTACAGGCTCCTGCCAGGGTACCTGGTTATTTTTAGTTTTGGGGGGAACCTGTATTCCATAATGACTATTGTAATTTACATTTTCACCAATATAGGAGACTTCCCCTTTCTATGTCTTTGTCAACATTTTTTAAATCTTTTTGATAAAAGCCATAAAATAAGATTTTGAAACTATGATTAAAGAAATTTTAATTCACATAATTGAACATAAGAGCACAGATTGGTGTTTCATTTCATGTATACAATGTGTTGAATGAGATTTTTACCACATTTTTTTCTTTACTCAAAATCAGCACTCTGGAAAGTGCCTTTCTATTAAAACTGTGGTTAAGACAAATAATTCACTAATTTTCTTCTTTTACAGAAATTTGTAGCATTTGAAGTGTTTTAAAAGATTTAGATGTAAAATTTAGCATGATATTTATCTCAGTTTACTCATTTTTTTTCTTCAGAGTGAACCAGAGGAAATGCCTCCAGAAGCAAAGATGAGGATGAAGAATATTGGAAGGTAGTATAGTTTTTTGTAACTATTACAGAAATAGAGGGATGATGGGGATGGAGTTGTGGCTCAGTGGCAGAGCACTCACCTAGCATGTGTGAGGCCCTGGGTTCGTTCCTCAGCACCACATAAAAATAAATAAATAGGGCTATTTAAAAGAAAAGAAAATTAGAGGGTTGAGTTAAGAGTAAGAATAAATTGCATATAATATTTTTAGTGTTAAGGCTTTTCTTGTGCATATGAGCAAAACAATTTTCTATATTTTCTCTCTACTGGAGTTTAAAGATAAGTAAGAATTAGACTTATCACAAAGAAGAAGGGTGATCTTATTTTCTGTGCTTTTTGGAGAAACACTTAACGATAATTTAAAGCTAATTCTTTTTATTTTTCCCTCACTACTGGGAACTGAATACAGGGGTAATTTACCACTGATCTATATCCTCACCCCTATTTATTTATTTAATTCTAATTAGTTATACATGACAGTAGAATGCATTTTGCTACATTGTACACAAATGGAATGCAACTTCTTCCTCTGGCTGTACATGGTGCAGAGTCACACCAGTAGTGTAATCATACATGTATATAGGGTAATAATGTCTGTCTGATTCAACTGTCCTTCTCATGCTCACACTAATGAGACAGACATTATTACCCTATATACACAATCCAAAGTGCCTCCATTCTTACCTACCTCCCACCCCTATAATCAGTATCCGAGTATCAGAGAAAACATTCAAACTTTGGTTTTTTGGTTTGGCTTATTTAACTTAGCATGATATTCTCCAGCTCCATTCATTTACTTGCAAATGCCATAATTTCATTCTTTAAGGCTGAGTAATAGTCCATTGTGTATATGTACCACATTTTCTTTATATATTTTTCTGTTGAAGGGCATCTATGTTGGTTCCATACTTTAGCTATTGTGAATTGAGCTGCTATAAACGTTGATGTGTCTGCATCACTGTGATATGCTGATTTTAAGTCTTTTGGGTATATACTGAAAAGTGGGATAACTGGGTCAAATGGTGGTTTCCATTCCAAGTTTTCTGAGGAAACTCCATATTGCTTTCCGTAGTGGTTACACCAATTAGCAGTCCCATCAGCAATGTCTGAGTATACTTCTTCCCTGTATACTCTCCAACAGCCCTTTTTATTTTTGGAAACAGGTTTTCCTAAGTTGCCTAAGCTGGTTTTAAACTCAGAATCCTCCTGCCTCAGCCTCCCAGATAGCTGAAATTACAGATGCCCAAATTAGGATATTTCTTTTCAGATACTTGTAACCTATATTTTTTCAAATAAGAGAAAGATATGAAGATGTTTCTGATTTTAAATTTCAATTTTTTTCTAGTGTAATAGAAAAGTGGGTTTTATTCACTACACTCATAATGATACAATGATATTCCTACCACTTAATCTTGATCTTACGTGTCTTTTTCCTTTGGAAAATATTTTTAGTATCAGGGATGCATCATGACCTATGTTGGAAAACAGGATTGGGGGAAAGCAATTTTGCCTTCCTACCCCACCTCAGGCCTACCGAATTTAAAGTCTTTGAACTGGCTGGTGTGGTGGTGCACACCTGTAATCCCAGCAGCTTGTGAGTCTGAGACAAGGAGGATTGTGAGTTCAAAGCCAGTCTCAACAACTCAGTGAGGCCCTAAGCAATGCAGTGAGACCCTATCACTAAATAAAATACAAAAAGGAGCTGGAAATTGGCTCAGTGGTTAAGCACCCCTGCGTTAAATCCCTAGAACCCCTCCTACCTCCCCAAAAAAAGTCTTTGAACTGTCTTTGGAAATAGTATTTTTTAAAAATCTATGTAGAGGTTTTTGGGGTAGGGATACTGGTAATTGAACCCAGGGGACACTTTGCTATTGATCTCCAGGGACACTTTACCATTGAGGTACATCTCCAGCCCTTTTATTTACTT